AGTGTATTAGTGCATAGCCCCTTGAGGCAAGCTGTAGCAAGCAATGAAATAAGCAGTTAAGATATTCATTACCACATCTACACTCCAGTTTGCCTTCTCAACTTCATGTAAGTCTCCTCTGCCACCCATAGCACACACATCTTTGGGATTATAGACAGATGGTAGATGGCCATCTGGAAAAGCAGGGAATGGGGCTAAAGTGGACTTAGGCCATGTGAAACGCCTCAGAACCCAGTGCCTCTGCACCAACAGTGCCATGAAGAGCCCTTAATGCAGACACCTCAGCAGAGACACTTGGCTTTCCCAACACTGCTGCCTTTGTGCACCCAGGAGAAAAGGAAGCCGTGTCAGAGGAGCTCTTCCAATACCTTGATGCAGACATAATAGGCTCCTCTCTCAAACCAGCTTCTGAGCACAGCCCTGGTTCCCATCACCCCAGCATTTGCCCATGAGTTTCTTCCCTCCCAGCCTCCCTGCATGCCTCCCCCATGACCTCTTAAAACCCCATCTCTTCCCCATAGAATACCCCCATATCTCCTGTTTGCCCAGCCTGCCTCCCTGGATCACCAGGGTCATATGCAGAGCACAGCAAGCGAGTCATGTTTGGCAAACAGACCACCCAAAAATTCATGAATTTCCCATCTCGTTTTTCAGACTTGCTCTAAGTTAGTGAGCCAGACTGGTTGCATCAAAAAACTGTAGTAGCTGATACACCTGAGCAGTTATCTAATTTTGGCTCTCCAAAAATAGCTGTTTTAATGTAATGCTTCAAAAATGGCCTACATCTGAGCTATTATCAGAATACAAGGTTATGAAGTTTGGAGTTTGTGGGAACTGTGGTTGTTTAGCTAAAAAAACCTAAAGAAATGACAGAAAACAGGGTGAAATTTCAAGTGAGGGTTTTTACACAGAAAATTCAATTGTCTTCTGAAGAGTTAGTGTGTCAAATTCAGAGTCTACATTCAATAATTACAAATGCAAAATTGGGCTTTTAATCCTGCTTTAAGTGCAAATCTCAATGCAACCTTAATTACTGAATTGTTACTAACATCTCCTTAGTGTGGTTTTTAAAGAAAACTTTTCAGTGCCAAAATAATTTGTTACAGTATTTGTTGTATAAAATTTTATATATGTAATATTTATCTGAGGGCCTTCTGCCTTGAAGGATACAAAATTCATTACAATGGTGGTTGAAGTGATTCCTGTACAGTAGAACTTATCTCCTGGAGGTAGCTACTTTATGAACAGATATACATCACCACACACTACACAAGCAGGAAGAGGTAACAGTGAAAAAGGGGAGGCATCTTTCCTAGTATTTGGAAACTTCATATTAAACTTCATATTTCTTTCCTTCCTCTCCCCATTACTTAGGTTGGATGCTAACCAAAATCATATCCTGTTGTGCCTTTCCTTTTCTCAGACGAGCAGCTGCTTTTCAAATAGTTCCTAACAGGCAGCTGAGTTGCTTTCAAGATGGTTTTTGAGTTGAAAAGGCTATCACGAACTTGCTCTATTCCTGCTTTAGCCTTTTCAACAGAACGCATTTGAAAGCAGTCCCACTGGGGAAGTGATGGCTGGGCAGCACAGGGAGGGGGAAAGTTTTAAAAACAAATCTAGCTGCTTCCCAGCTGCTGCAACTCATCTCTCTATTATGCTGTCTTTAGTTTAGAGAACTTCCCTTGTTCACCCAAGTACCTCTAATTTCTAGTTTCACTTGGAAAAGCTTTAAACTACAGGAGTATCAAATGAGTGTGGACTTGCTATTCCAAGTGAAAAATAACCCTAAATGTTCCTTAGTTTCAACTGGGTATGATATACTCTCATTTACTGTCCTAACTGTTGCATAGTTTGTCTTTAATCAGCTGCTGTGTTCTATTCAGAAAGGATTGCCATTTCAGAGGTGAATTGGTTTTGAGTGTTTACTGGATAAGAGGCATTATGCAACTATACGATATTAGGTATTACTATATTAAAAATACCCATTACAGAAATAGACAAATTAGTGCATTGGTTGAATTGATTTCTTCAATCCGCAGCATAAAAAAAACACAACAAGCTTAGCTAGGGTTTAGTGCTCCAAAAAATCCCTAATCTTCTTGAGTGACCTCATTGAACTTGTGTTACATACTCTCAAAAATTAAAGATAATGGATTAAATAGTGGTCCTTACCTGTCCAAATGTCTGTGGGTCTGAAAGCATCGTGCCATCGGCATTTTCATTTTTTGACCCTGCAGATGCCAGTTGTTCCGATTGCTCAGGAAGAAAGATGTCATCTGGAGTGCTAGTAGAGGGCTGACTGGGTCGAGGTTTCTCCCATTCTAGGGATGTGGCAGGAAGGCTTGGGGTAACAAAATTTTCTTGTTTAGCTATGCTGGACTTCTCAGCTTTAGCTGTCTCTTTTGGAGCAGACTCTTGCCTGTAATATGTTGGAAGGGACTTCTCTCCTTTCTCCATAGATTTGATCTGGCTGGGGGTCAAGGACTGGAACTCAGACTGTTTGCCTTCAACCTTTGAGCGCTCTGCATTTATCTTCCAGAAAGATGACTCTTCTTCCTTCCTGGCTGGTATTAGCCCATCGGAGCTAGGTGCCTTATTACCCTGAGAAGATTTGGGAGCCTGGACACCGGAAGCTGCTTTGACTAGCTGCCTCTGTTCATTTTGTGAACCTTGTTCTTGTATAGACAGAGATGCAACACTGAATTCCATTTGACTCTGTAGGGATTAAAGGAAAAAAACCAATGTATTTCAAATCTCTTTACAAAGGCAAAAATAATTACATTATGTTTGAGATCAGAGGCGTGTAATTGGCTATTTAAGCTAAGGATAGTGCGTATATATCTGTTAACATTTGCACCTGTGTCAAAGGGCTTTTAGAACAGGACCAACCAACAGAAAGGCAGTTTTCTTCCAAGCTTCTACCCCCCCGAACTACTGGATGAAGAAACTGACAGAATTAAGTCTTAGAACCCCTTTGCAGACAACACACTAGAGGGGAGGTAATCGCATATATTTGAGCAATCTGATTCTGTCCAAGAATAGACAGTGGCATATGCAGACATTATAGTGCAATGAAAAAGTGTTATAAATCCACATAAAACTATTTAAAGGATAATGGATATGTTTAGAAAGGCATAGAAAGTACCTTTAATAAGACCTCTAAGCTGAGAAATTTTATAATGTTGTGTATCAGGCAAACAAGTTTCCATTACCTTCGTTGAAGGTCCAATAATGGGTTAGACATTACAACTTCATCTAATTCTGAAATAGTGGGACACTATTTAATTAGCATGTATAGTTAAATAAATATAACAGGCATTTTATCAGTTAGTCTGTTTTTAAAATTAAGAGCAACAGCTTTATAAAAAGCAACAAATGTATACTTATTTCAGTTACAACATTTTGTAACGTGGTTATATTGTTTTGTACTACTACCCTCAGTGTAATTAATTCCCAAGAGATCTCATTTTATCAATGGATAAAGAAAACACAGCTATAGTTGGTGTGACAAATGATCTTTCAAAAATAGTGTAAAGATTGTCAGTAGCGATTTGACTTTGAAAAGCAACAATCGCATTAGTTACTTTACTTATGAGTAGTTTATTACTGTAATGTGTTGCCGGTACCCCGACTGTATTCCAGAGGGCACAAATAATTTGAGAGAGACAATTTAGATTTTGTAGAAGACTGGTTTTACAAAACTTACACATTAAAATGCTTTCATGTCATGTTTCAGTGAACATGTTTTTACTTAAATATTTCTTTGCAGTGCTATGATCCAGAACAGAATAGTACTGTAATGAGTGCCAGAAAGGGAAACAAGTCTAGTTATATTGTCCAATGCAAACAGTAAACAAACAGCAAAAACGGTAAGTAAATTAGATTTATAAAATCATTACAAACCTAACACTACATGGTCTTAATGGGAAATGTAAGGAGTTTTGTAAAATGAGTTTTTAGAAGAGCATGGATGGTATCCTTCTTCCAACACGAACCTTCTGTGACAAATTTACTAAGCATTAGACTAAAATTTCTACCAACCCCTGCCCCACTGCACATTTGCTGTCTTCTGGCCAGATAAGTAAAGAAAGCAGATTCAGAAACTCCACGAAAAGACCATGAACCAGGAAGTGACTGGACACATTTGGGAAGCAGCAGCATCATGGTTATCCAGGAGCTGCAGGGAACGGACGTGCAGAGTGAAACACAGAGGGAGCTGAAGCCAGAGTAAGGCCTGGTCTACACAACAAAGATAGGTTGACATAGTTACTTGGCATTGACCTTGGCATGGGTCTGCATTCAAATTTGTCTCCTACCACTGTCAGCGCAGTTATGACAATGTAGTAACACCACCTCCCCGAACAATGTTGAGTCATGCTTGGCACAGTGCACGCATAGACAATACGTGACCTGTATTGACTCTAACAGCCCTCCAGCAGCTGTCCCACAATGCCCAACATTGACCACTCTGGTCACAATTGTGAACTCCACTGCCCAGGGGGTCACAGAGATGGGAAGGCCCACTCCCCTGCTTTAAAAACCCTATGAATTTTTGAAATGCCCTTCCCTGACTGCTGAGCTTGGTGAGCACACCTAGTAGCTCTTCATTGTTGCATGCAATTGCCCAACCTACAATGCTGCATACATGCTCTTGCTGGAGCAGAAAGGAGAGATATTGGATCTCTTGGGCCTGTGGGGAGAAGAGGTTGTGCACGCACAGTCATGGAGCAGCTGTAGAAATGTGGATGTCTATGGGCAGTTTGTGTCAGGGACGCAGGCAAAAGGGTATGAGAGGGACCAGCAGAAGTGCCAAGTGAAAGCAAAGGAACTGCAACAGGCGTACCAGAAGGCCAGGGAGGCCAACATTCAATCTGATGCCAAGTTGCAGACCTGAAGCTTCTACAATGAGCTGCATGCCATACTTGGCAGAGACCCCACCAGCACCTTACAGACCAATGGGGATACCTTGGTGGAGCTTGAAATACAAACCTCTGCCATGAATAGTGAGGCAGTGGTGGAGGAGGATGGGTGACATGTGACCAGAGGGAAAGAGGGGTCCAACTATGCTGCGAGCCAGGATCTGTTCAAGACTCCACTGCAGTCCAGTCAGTCCCAGAAGCTGAGCATGGGCAAGCCCGATGCACGGGAAGGAACTTCAGATAGTGTGTGAATGCATTTCCCATTACAATGTTTAGATGTACAGATGGTGCCAGACCCCAACACAGCAGGACACAGAAGCAACTTTTCATTAATTTACTTGTACTAGAAGAGGTAGCAGTACAACAAAGAGAGGTAGAGTTGGTATCTGCTTTTCATTCCCCTGTAGAGTTAGGGAGGGGGGCCGTGCAGAGTACTTTGTTTATGTACACAGGGATGTCCCTTGAATCCTCCTGAGAGATCTTGATGAAATTTTCATGGAGGCACTCTGCAATCATGGTTTCTAGGGGTGAAAGCCTTATTTCTTCCTCCATGGTAGGACACTTCCCCATGCCAGTCAGCGATAGCTTAGTCAGGCACCATTGCAGTTAACGGACTAGCAGCGTATGGGCCAGAGTGGCTTCAGGATGCCACAAGCAGCTGTGCTCTGTGTCTTTGTTACCTCAAGATATCAGCTAAAATCAGCACTGCCTGTGGAAAACAGTGCCAGTATTCAGAGCCTTTGCCCTGTACTTGTACCCATGGAAATAGGGGATGAAATTTGATTGTTTCATGCAGCTGAACAATTCCCTTCTCATCCCCCCCCCCAACCCCCATATCTTCTGCTAAGCCATATTCACTATAGCTAGGACTGGAGAGCTGTACTGTGCACAGGTGCTCCAAAGCTGAAATGTCAGAAAGCATGTCTTGTTTTAAACCTCAGGGGAGCAAGGCAAGGGAGTTCTGAATCTTAACTTTTGCTTTCCGTTGTGACTATAAATACAATGATACCTCTATGTGTTTTATCTGTAGCTGCCACTGTTGTGGTCTTCAGGGCTTCCCGCTCCTCATCTGCAGAACACCTGAGCCAGATAAGGAGAAGGATGAGGACATGGAAGGATATGTTCAGTGAAATCCTGCAAGCCAGTGCTGCATGGACAGTGAGCAGAGGGCCTGGAGGGTGAATGCTACAGACAGTGTGGAGAAGGAAAAAAAGTGGAAGAGAGAGAGGCCGAGGAGGCCCTGCAGGAAAAGGAAAGGGAGATGTAAATGGGGCTTCTCCAGCAGCATAGATGCTACAGACTCTTGCTGATCTATAGGTTTAATAACCACCGGCTCGCCTCCCTTTGCAGTCAATGGAAAACTCGATTTTAGCACTTCCCTATACACCCAACATACCATGTGGCATCACGGCAGCATCCCTACCCCTACCACTCCACATTCGGGACAGTAAGGACAACTACATCTTCACTTACACCAAGTGTGGCTTTCACAGGTCAGTGTATGTGCAGCCAAAATGAACAGAAATGGACATAAATGTTCTTTCCCCTTAAGTTCTGTTTATTAATTTATTTCAGAGTTTTTATTGCACTGGTTTTGGTACACGATAAAAATCTATTATTCTGTAAATAATTCATCTTTATTACTTCAAAACATATGTGCAGAATGCCTAGCGCTACTGAAAGTGTCACTGATCCTATGAGTTCTGTGGGCAAACAGTGTAATCATAGAATCATAGAATATCAGGGTTGGAAGGGACCTCAGGAGGTCATCTAGTCCAACCCCATGCTCAAAGCAGGACCAATTCCCAACTAAATCATCCCAGCCAGGGCTTTGTCAAGCCAGGCCTTAAAAACCTCCAAAGAAGGAGACTCCACC